GCAAGCTTACGCGTAACATATGATAATGAAGGAATAAATAAATAAAATAATAAATAAATAATAAATAATAAATCAATAAAAAATAATAATAAATCAATAAAATAAATAAAAATAAATAATATGTAAAGAAAATCACAGAAAACAACAAGACATCAATAGATATAATGAAATCCTGATGGATGAATAATTATCCATATTTATGTAATGAGCTTTCATCATTTGGGTGCTTTGAAGTCATAAGGTTTGTTTTCTGTTCCTGCACTAGTGAACTAGTGCAGTAAAGTAGAATGAGAAAATATATGCTTGTCTTACTCTAATTTATTGCACTAGTTCACTAGTGTAAGAACAGAAAACAAGCCTATAGCTTGCGTCACAATCGTCGATCTCAGCATCATCACTTCGTGCTTCAGCTTCTTCAACTCCATCATTATATTTTCATTATCTGATAACCGATTCTTACTCAAGATAATTTGTTTTTTAGCTTGCTTCACTATATTAGGACCCATTCTCAAGTTGGGCCAGTATTTATCACGATTTACAGACTCTCTACAAACGTAATCTCTCGCTACGAGGTGATTGTATTTCTCGTTCTTTGTGATATCGTACAGCTTGACGTTGACTTTGCCGCTTGTCAAATAATGTGGAAATAGGAAAAGCTTCTTGGCGAGGAAGCAGAAAGGGTATCGTAAAAATCTGCAATTTCCACAACAGGAGTTTTTAAACAGTATACTCAGTGTCATGTTTTTGAGATAGGCGATTGTGCGTATTGTGGAAATTAGTCCGATTAGCTCGGCGTTGCTCAAGATCTCGGTGGTGTCGTTGACCGCCAAGCCGTTGAGTAGATTAACTAATACGATAACGATGAAGATGAACAGTATGAACGCGAAACGGCTCCAAAAGGGGTGCGCAACAAACGGGATTTCGTTTGTGTCAAGCTCGCCGGTAAGTATAACGATGGTCTTAAAAATCGAACGCATGAGATCAGAAAAGTTCGTGTTATCCTTGAAGAGTGTATAGAAAAGGGGAACGCAATGACGAAAAGCACGTGCGGAAAAAATAAACGCATATAGTTTCTAGAGATCGTTCGGAACATTTCAATGCTGGTGGACCTATCTGTATGATGGCTGATCAGTATGATTAGTTTGTAGATGGACAATAGGATCAGTAAAGTGCCGACCTGATACGCCCCGCATATCAGAGCGACCGTCAGTAAAATCAGCATGTTGTGCAACAAGCTAACCAAGTTTGTCAACTTCAACAAATAGTTCCAAGGACAGGAGATGATTTGAAGGATCTCCCAAAATATAAAGAGCAGTAATAGTAGGATAATGGGGATCCATCGAGAAATGTCCTGATGGCAGACGATCTGCAGAGGATTTTTTAAAGTTACATTATCATTAAATATTTCCGTTTCATTTGCAGGATTGTTGAAACACGTACTCAAGATGCAGAAATTTAACAGAATGTAAAACATCGCGTAGATGAATAAATGCGCGTACATAATGTACCATATATTTTGTCGCTTGAGATCGAGAAAGGATGAGAGTATCGGATGCTTCAGCAAGTGTTTAAGATCATTATTGCCAGCTATGTACTGAAAAACTACCATCTCGCGAGTTAACCGACGTTCCTCGTGTTTCTTCAGAACGTCGTGCGGCATCAGACAACAATAGTCGAACTCAATCACGTATTTGTTCATCCATACCTTCCCCATCCGTAAACAGTCGTCGAAGTGGCGCGACAGCGTGCAGGCCGGAATGTTTGCGATGGGTGGTACGTTAAATTCGTTCATGTGACCAATGTAACTGCCTCGTTTGAGAAGCAGACTCATCGCTTCGCAATTATCCGCTCTGGCTGCGTGATGCAACGGCGTGTTGCCATTGCCTGTAAGATAAAATTTATAATAAAGGGAACAGTCTGTAAAAATTTCAAGAATATTATATTTTCAGAATATCTAGAATATTGTCATATCTATACAATTAAGACACTTTGTGTGTGTCTACATATTGTCTAAAAAAATGTTATTCCTTCTGTTACTCATGACATACATTGAGGTGTACTTACTGTCTGTGCAACGGACGTCCACGTTTTCCTGGTCCAAAATTAATTTTAGACACATCAGCCGATCGGTATCATTGTCTTTTCGACTTATCGGTACTCCCAGCTGCTGACAGGCACTCAGAATCAAGTCGTTGGCCACTTCCGGCTGCATAAATATTCCGGCAGCAATATTTGACCCTAGTATAGTAGAAGAAGCGGCAATTACTACTGAAGCATTCAATCAATTGTCTTGTACAAATAATGTATTGGAGAAAGATACAATCCATGCAAATGAAGTATTAGATTCTGATAGACATTCTGATACAGATTCATCACGATGTGACATGAGAAACGACAAAAAACATGATGTTGAAGTACAAGACAATGTTATTGAATTGACAGATAATACTAATGAAATCGATAATACTAATGAAATCGATAATACTAATGAAAACACTTTGGAAAATGATTTGCAAACGTTAGTTCTTAAACACAACATTACACACTGTTAGCGATTCTCGCTAGGAGAGTTCGCTGGTACCGCTGCGGATGGAAGCAGGGTGAGAGGACTTAGCGACAAGAGGCTCAAGGAAAAGCATGCACGCGTGAGAGGGTGGAATATCACGTGATCGTAACTCAGATCGTTTTGAGTAAAATACCGTATCACAATTTTAATAATCACAGTATGCTTACAGTTGAGAAGTCTATTAATATAACGGTGATGAGAAGTCTTTAATCACTTGCGCGGGTCGATATTACTGATCGAGAGCCGGCCTCGTGAATGTAGATGCCCGTGAGCCGTGTCCACGCGGCGCCGGCGTGCGCGATGCGTGGTGAGTCTGAGCCGCCGTTGATGATGTACCCTGAGCTGTCCGGGATGATTCGCACTGGTATGAGATCATTATGTGTCCGCACTGAGTCTAGTCTCTGCTGAGAAGGTCCACAAGAGCACTCTAAAAGTCTTTTGCACTACACGACGCGTGTATGTACCATTACGGTAGCCATGAGCCAAAAGCGCCTTCTTCTTCTTCTTTCCGGTTGTTTGGCACTTGGTCGCTAAAAGCGATCCGATACGGCCATGTCGATCCAATAGGCAATAATGTCTATACAGCAATAGTCTTAACTTGGCGATACAAATTCTCCTAACAAGTCACACAATGCAGAGGCCCAACTACCGAGCCTCGCGCGGGATGATGCAATCCCTACTGGATGATGCAATCCCGCAGGATCAAAAATTTTAACTTCCGTCGGAAGACGTGTGAAGGCCCAGACGGGACTAGCCAAAAGCGCCGGTAACGCATGTGAAGAAGTGCCGTCGCCTCGTGTCGCGATCGGGCATGCGCGCGCAGCGCTCCTGCGGCGCTGCACGATCTGACCCGGCTGATGCTGCCATCACGCCGGTGACGAACTGACCGAGAGTCAAAATGAATCTCGAACACACACAATGCTGCAAATGATTTACTACGAATTCTGAAAAAACATGGTCATTCTGAATTACTTAGTGATGTTCGAGTTTTAATGGGAACACCGCGAAATGCATCCGTAAATATAAAATCTGTGGGTGGTGGTCAGTATGTACAGAAAATATAATTTCGAAAAAATAATGATATATGAAACGGAAGAGAAATCGGGCACTATATACCTTTCGGAAATAAACCAACGTAGGATAGGCACGGATTTCGAAGTGGTCACACAATTTCCTATTATAATCACAATTGACTGCCCTGGTAAAAATTCCGTTAGAAACAGATAGAATTTAATGCATGTTCTATCCGTTTCTAACGGAATTTTTACCAGGGTGCTGCGCTTAAATTAAAACTATCCAGCAAGTATAAGTATACAAGATTATTTTCAGATTTACTTTTATTCATAAACAGAGTGGAAAAATAGATACGAATCTTTTGGAAACTTCTGCACATTTGCAGACCGCAGTGGCAGTAGTTAGAAAATATGTTTTGCTCGCACTGCTTCTAGATCTAATAATTCATTGCACTTACATTTCTATAAAATCTTGTTACAGCTACATACACGATAATAGATTTGGTACTCCACTTTCAAGCCGACGTCCTTCGCTGCAACACCATGCATCATTGCGTATTCTTACGGCACGCCCTATAATTCTATTATATTTAACTGTATCTGAGACCATATGTTGTCCGTTTCTTGACAGTGTTTGTTACCTGCAGGTCCTTCTCGACTTTTAGTCCCGAAATCATTAAACGGAAGTGTAGTGCTAAATATTTTCATAAAGGTCTAATAGTAACTCGAGCAGCTCTTGATCGTATTTATTCCTTTGAGTTTGACTAAATTTCTATCGCATTGTAATCTGTAAATTTGAAACTAACGAGCATTCGCATGATTTGGACGAAAGTATGAGCATGACAAATGTACACGTATGAACATTTATTTTCATGGCTTGTACCGAGTAGACACCGAGCGAATTTTGTCAACGATCTACGGATAAACATTTCGGGCCATTTTTTTAATTTGGCGATGCATTCTTGAACAGATTTGAATGTTTGACCACAGATTTGTTCGTTTTGATAGACACATTTATAGTAAATGTACTTAGCACATTAGTGATGAAGAACAAGGAGTAGGTATTTCTTTGTAAGCTCTGCTCGTATAAATTATTTAATGCAAGATATACTTGCAAGAATAGGTAAATGTTAAAAAATATTCTCTTGAGGTTGATGGAGGCCATGACTTTACTGGTGTTTTAAAATAGTTAGCTGGACACATTGGCTAAATATCCGTGTTTCTTATTATATAAATAATATCTCTGACACATATTCGAAGCTTTATTGGAGAAAAAAAAACTTTTAAAATAATATGTAAGATTCGAGGCTTTATTAATTTGTTCGTAGACATTTTATTATAATTGCTATATACATATATAAAAATGTATAAAAGTATCACAATGGGAATAAAATATATCTGGTCTAGTACACATTCTCTTTGTTTCTCTTGGAAGAATGAGACGCGTAATAAAATTAATTTATTCGTACATTACAAAGAATTTATGTTTAAAATAATAAAATACAAACTTTAAGTTGAACTTAGGCACTTTATCTATTATAGCTCGTCATGTTTCGTGCGAGAATTAATAATCTCTAAAATTTCATCCTTAATTGCTTCAGCCGTTAACGCAGCAATTTTTGTACCATCATATCTCTCATCGTTTTTTTGTTTGTTCTGCTTAGAATTATATAACATTAGCGTAGGGAAGTATTTTATGTGTGCGCAGTCGTGTGCATAAAAATTACAATTAATTTTTCCAAATTTAACTTTATCCAGCAACTGAAATTAAAATAGGATTTATAATTAATCTAGCTGTTATAAAATAAATTATAGATTGTAAAAATTTGCTGTCAATAAAGTAGCAGTTACCTGAGCAGCAATGGCAAATTCAGGTTCCATCTTTTGGCAATGCCAACATTGTGGTAAATAAAAATCGATGAGCCACATATGCTTGCTATTCAATAGCCTTTGATAGTCGGAAGAATTCAAATCACGGACTTTCTTTGGGAAGAATGTTGTTATCCATGTTAACATAGATAACGAATCTCGCTGTCCATTGTACAAGCTGCGATGTAAATGAAAACGATGCATAATGAATGCATTAATGTATGTTGCATGATTGAACATTGCAAAAAGTTGACTTACGCGATTGTGTTTAGACCCTCGCTTCCTAATGGGTACAGTCTAATATCGGGGTAAGAACGCACGCCTTGGGATGCGCATAAGGAAGCTTCAGCCTGGCAATCTACACTAGCAACATTTACAAACGACAAATTACTCAGCGATCTCGCAACGGCTGTCCATTCAGGTGCTAATCTTTGACACGGTCCACACCACGGTGCAAAATAATCAACAATCCATATAACTTTACTCTTTTTCTTCGCTAATTTATGATGAAAATTTGCCGACGTCAGTTCCATAACTGTATGAAACAATCAGAAACAATGAAACAAGCATGAATATAACAATGTAATTATTTAATGTATTATATCTTACCCGAGGGAGTTCTTTTCTCGTTAATGAATTGAATAATATTCGCAGCTGTTTTTGGTAACGCGAAATGATATGTATTGCTACCATTTATGAGCATTGCAGTAGGATAATACTGTATGTTATACTGATGACACAGTGTGTTATGAACGGTACAATCAATGGTACCAAAACGAATTATTGATGCATCAAATTCTAACGACGCTCTACGGAGTTCCGACAGGAACTGTATACAAGGTGGACACCACGGTGTAAACCAATCTAGGAACCACACTTCATCCGCTGTAACATTTTGTTAAAGTCAGTATTGTAAAATTTCTCAAAAATGTGACTCGTGTCTATAACATACCATTATCTCTTTGTAGTATCGATAACGCTTTTTCTGCAGAGAGAGCCTCAACGTTCGTAGTTTTCACACTGATTTGCACAAATTTAATAATATCGCTATTTACATTCTTCCCATGATTCAATTCGAAAGCTCCACCTGGCTTGAGCATGCCCCAGATTGGATAGCGATTTACACCCAATTTAGAACAAAGCTGCCCGTTTCTACCGCAATTCATTTTACCTACAATATAATACTTCATGCTGTGTAAAAATATTTTATATTCAATATCAAATCCATCAATGTGGATTACAATAATGTCTACCTAAGTTAACATTACTGGTTGACACTTTCTTCATTTGCAAATTCAACTCTCGGAAATTTGCCGTATCGCCAATATAAAAGTATACAAGCCAGGCAACGTTCGACTTCGTTTTCCTAATATGCTGCAAATCAAAATAAGTATAAAATTTAAGAAACAGTAATCGTATAAAAAGTACGTACATACTAAAATCTCAAATTACAAATACATGTGTATACAAATTAATAATAATATTATTGTATAAAATATTAAAATTAATAATATATGTAACGCAATAATTAATAGTAATACATACAAGTATCTATACAGTATCGTTAATATTATGCTTACCTCAAAATCATTTTCAGACAACTCTTGCGGACTAGGCAATTGGTCCAAGAGCTTTGCTATCAATGTATTTATATCGGACATGCTTTCGAGAAACATAGGTTCCCAGTAAGATGCATTATATGTTGGTAAATAGACCGCATGTGTGTTATACGACATCTTATCATGACAATTACCATTTTGGCATGTAAACTTTCTGACATCAATCAAATTTTCCTATAAAATCGCGTATTACAATACTATTTAACACAGCTGCGGTAGAAAAGTATTTTGAATAATACGTCACTTACGAATATACCAGCTACTACAAGTCTTTCATCGGAAGTAAAACAGTTTTGTTGATCACCACATGTAAAAATTAACGTAGGCCTGTGGACAATTTTTTCGCCACGTAAGAACAGCTCCCATTGAGATTCACTTATCTCAGGTACGTTGATATTTAGCCGGTCTAATGCAAAACGTGTAATTGCCTCCTGCGTTTTTTCTCCTCTATAATGCGCTCCATGCTGCGAATTCTTTGAGACAATGAATAAATTAGTACTGATGATTTAACCTGTTGATTTAACTAACAAATATGATCCATACAAACATCTAAAGTTACGTACGTACACAATTTCCAACAAATGATATAATATGAGACTCAAAAGAAATTTCCTCTTTTACTATATCATTCTATTACATCATTTGTTGGGAATTTTATCCATACATAACTTCAGATATTTGTAAAAAAAAAGGGGTATACATATGTATACATATACCTTTTGGAAATAGAGCAACGTAGGATAGGCACGGATCCCAACTTGGTGGCACAATTGCCTGTTATATTCACAGTTGACCGCGGCAATTTTCACAACGCCGTCTAATAACTTAGCAACTTCCTTCCAGGTTGGTGCCAAGTGGTGACAGTGGCTGCACATGGGTGAGTAGAAGTTGACAAACCAGCTTGAGTCAGAGTCGATAACACTCTCGTCTACACAAAGGTACACATACGCACACTATTAATACTACAATTATCAATGCTTAATATTTAACGTACATAATATCAATACATTTTATTTCGCACGCGACAAGAGATGCAGAAAACGTTATACACTTACAATAATCATTTCTCTCCAAATTGATAACATACTCGTCATCGTCATATATAAAACTGTTCTGATAGTAACTCCATGAATGATAGGTTTGCTTCTTGTGTGAATTATTAAGGCCATCTTCCCCGTAAAGATCGTACTTTTTCCTTAAGTCATTGTCTTTCAACGTCTCATACGCTGTCGTTAGTCGAACAAACTTGTCATGAGCATCTGGATCGTCCTAAAGTGTTGAAATATTATTAGCCACCTCCTACAGAAATGTAACAACTGGGAACGAAAAAAAAGGCGCTGAACAATTACTAGAGTTCAGTAATTGAGTTATTAAAAAAATTACTGATGTACAGTAATTTTCTAATATTTATTTCGCTTACATTTCTATATGGGACATAGCAAGACAGACAGTAATGATAGCGTATGGCACTTTAATTCACATACACTATTTTTGTCAGGATGATGGATGATAGCCAGCCTCTTGAAGGCCTTCCGGATCTCGTCCTGACCGGCGGATCTGCTTATACCTAGGACCTCATAATAATCTTCTCCCCGCGTCGCAGAAACAATAACGAAGAGAGTAACGATAACTTTATACCTGCAACAAGTACAAACGTGACGTTAGGTACTCATGCACATACATTGCAGATACGCAAACACAGAGTCAAATTCTATTCAACATTATTGCTCCATTAAGTAAGTTTAAATTAAAAGTATTCAGCAGATAAGTGAGTATAAAGGATTATATTCCAAATTGTTGTGAAGGCTCCCGTAAAGAAATTATATAGAAAGGGAAGAGTGCCAATGTGAGCCACAAATGAACAGATAACAGTTCTCACAATTTAAAACAAATTATCTCTTTAATAAACGTTTCGACCCTGTTTCGGGCCTTCCTCGGTATAACTCGTTAAATCTGACTGGTTTGAGAACAAGACAGTCTTGTTAAAACCTTTGTAACGGATTCATCTCTCTGTCGACCTGAGTCTTCAGTCCTCTTTATGTCTGGGACCATTTAGAGAAAAAGTGAGACCATAGCTGATAGAGGAATGATTCTCAAACCAGTCAAATTTAACGAGTTACACTGAGGAAGACCCGAAACAGGGTCGAAACGTTTATTAAAGAGATAATTTGTTTTAAATTGTGAGAACCGTTATCTGTTCATTTGTGGTTAGTTCACATTGGCACTCTTTCCTTTCTATATAATAAAGGATTATCTTCAGATTTATTTTTATACGAGACAGCCGAAAAACAGACACGAATCTTCTTTCGCAACATTCTCGAGATGCACGGGAACCGGCAGTGTCAGCAGTTACACACAAAAATCAGTCGCCTGCACGAACTGATTTGCTTTTCTGAACCGGTACGATACATTGCACTCACATTTCTACAAAACCTTATCACCGCCACGTGCACGACAATGGATTTGTGCTCCACTCTCAGGCCTCAAGTCAGTCTTTCGTCACATCGCAACATACTCCCGTGTACTCCCACGCTCCGTGATGTTATCGTTTGACCGTGTTTGGGAGTGAACCGCAGATCCTGTTCGACCTTCGGTCTCGAGCTCGCCGTTAAGAGAAGGCTCGGCGACAAGTATTTCTCATAACAAAGCTTCCGGCAACTCGAGCAACTCTTCTAACGACGGATTCATTTCTCAGACTTGACTAAGCTCCTGTTTATACCCTCTCCTTGAATTAAAAAATAGAAAGTAAGCGTTCCACTCGCCCTCGTTACATATCGCTCCGTGCAAAGCTCATTGTGTCATTTTACTAATTGTTCCTACACACTATTTGTCGTACTGCAAGCGACTCGCATGTCTGTCCCTGTCGCGCGTGTAGAAGTGAGATTCGCTTCAAGAGATGTTCTTTGCGGTTGAACACTTCTCGTGTGCCCATCTTTCCTCTCTTTCTCTCCGATAATCTTACGTACATCTGTCTTCCACGATATTATACATCTGTTTCCTACGAATTGTGCATATATCTGTCTCATCCCGGAAGTGGAAGTCGCAAGGAGTTACAGAAACGAGTGCTTCGCGTTTCGATGGACTTTTTGGGACTTCTCAACTATTCTCGCTCGCCTACTCCAATTATTTCTCGTTCTGTCCCTGATTTATCTCATTTTAAGTGGAAAAAGGGCCACGTAGCTACATTACGCTACGCAACGGCGAGTGCGAGCCCTTAAGAAGCGTTTCCAATCGATACTCCAAAAAATGTTGTCTTCTTTCCTTCCTAAAAAATCATAAAATATTTTAATTGTGTCGATTCAATGGATAACTCCCGCTGCAAGTTTTATACTCATTCCTAAGTTAATGAGAAATATATATCCCAGGTGGCCGATTCATTAAAAATCAAGCCTTGTGATTATCAACCAATCAGCGAGTCTTCATTTGTGTTAAGCCTGTATCACACTATTCGCTCATACTTGACGCCGACTGAACGTATTTTTAAATAACTCCTATATGCAATCGTTGGTATTTCGTATGTAGATGTTTGTAGTGCAATTAGAAAGGTTTGTGAGTCATTCGTTTGTTTGTAATTAATTATTTTTCCACCGTATACTTAGCGCCAATACATAAATTAGATAAAGTTTTTATATGGAATCGTTGGTAATTCGTATGAAGACGTTTGTAGTGCAATTAAAAAGGTTTGTGAGTGATCCAGATAATTTTAATTAAATATTTATTAAATAGAAGTTAGCCGGATTCAAAATTTCATTGATTTTCTATCTATGATACTGAATGATTTAAGACATAAGAATTGCTTGTCACGCCATTTCAGGACGTCTAGACCGAGGGGTTGTGAAAATAAAAACTGGACGCGATGAGCGACGAGCGACGCGCGATTATCCAATGAGCGTACAGGTTTTATGGGAAAGCGTACAGTTTTCCTATAAATACAGCACGCCCATTGGATATCGCGCGTCGCTCATCGTTCATCGCGTTCAATCTGAATGGTCGCGTTCAGCAGACACAACTGTTGAGTGAGCGCTCAATGATTTCTTAATATGATTGGCTGGATCTAAAAGTATTAACCAATCATACTGAGCGCTCACTCAACAGTTGTGTCTGCTGAACGCGACCAATGAGGCTGCAGGTAGGGAACGCGCAGTCTATATATATATACTATGTCTATGGTCTAGCGTCGGTTACGTTCGCTGTTTGAAGCCCAGGGCCCGCGACGCCGGCCAATCCGGCGCGTGCGTTCCGAACGCGCGGGCGCCGCGATTGGCCGACAAAATGGGCGCGCAGCACGGCCGACGCTGTTTGCACCGCGCTGCCCGAGTCAATTGAGCCACGTTCAAGTTGAATCGGACGCTCCAAACAATCGGCGGAGCAGAGCGCAAGATCGGCCGTGCCGGTGTTGTCCGAGGTGCAATTGCGACACTACGCCAGACAGGCCAATCGTGAACGGTAGGAAGGTCCGGACGGATGTCACCTAGACGAACTCGCGCAGGTGAGACGAAGGTAGCTCGAGGTACACTGTTGATCCGGTGATTGCAAGGTTATAGCTTCCCTCGTCCGGGATACATTTTGCGCCCCGTCGCGCGCGCGCTTCCAGAATTCAAGACGCTACACGCGTCAAATCGCTCGACCAAGTTATTTAAATTATTCCGATCACTGGCCGACTCGAACCAAGCTCCGGAATTGTTTGTTCGGTTTTCAGTAGTATAATTTGTCACCCCTCATCTTCCTTTGTTAAATATTAATGATTCTATCTTGGAAAGGCATACCAAATATTACTTGATAAGTAAATTGACCCTTGGTCGAAGCCCCGAGTCGCGGATTTCTTATCCTGGCCTCTTTCTCGCGTAGCACTCGACGCTTTTGGGTAAAGAAGGATCTTTGAGGTGTCTCGTTACTTTGCAGCAACGGTGGAACAGGCCGCTGTTTTCACTAGATCCAGGGCACAGAAGGTAAATAACACGAGCCAGAATGTGGACAAGTCGGCGCAGAAAGTCAGACACTCGCACAGGAAGGAGAAGCCTGCTAGGAACAATTTGGAAGCCGCCTCCAAGCAAAGCGCCAAGAAAGAATCGCCCGACGCAGAGGTAGCGTTGAAGAAGTCCGCGAGGAAAAAGACCTCTCGCCGGAGGCTCAATTTGGACGAAACGGCGGGAAGCGAGGATGCGAATCGGACCGTGGGTTCCAACGAGTCGATCAGAATATTGAGAAACCGACACTGCGACAATGTCACGGTGGAACTTGGCGAGCGTAGCACGCTTCAGCCGAGTGTCCCGAGAGACTTGAACTCGGAGATCGTGCCGAATGGAAAGTTACCGCGCAAGACCTCGACGAAAGCGTCGCCCGTTATAGTTACTCCCAAGAGCACGCCTCCCAAGCTCAGTCTCACGCCTCACAGATCTAAGAAGACTCCTAAGAAGTCGCCGGTCTTCCTAGGTTCTCCGAAGACGCACTCGATGACGAAATCAAAACTGTTTAAGAGCCCGAGAAAATTGTCCCTCGCGGGTGAGAACTCCAAGGAGAATTTAGGGGAAACGGACGGCGAGCCTCGCGCTAGGAAATCACGGAGGAGCAAGAAGAACAGTCTGAGCGGTAGCCCCGTGTCCAACAAGAGCGCGTCGATGTCGCCCACGGGAAAGGACAAGCGTAAGAAGAGCGTTGTGAACTTGAGGACAATTGTACGTAGGTTCTCGAAATCGCCGAAAATAATATTGAAGACCCCGAAATCGAAGAAATCAAAATCGGCCAAGTTGAACTTGTCTCCGTCTCCGATGAAGCGCGGGTCTTCCGCGTCTCTCGCGTCCCCTAGTCCTAATCGTAGTAAGTCGGATTCCAGAATTCGCATTAAAAAATCTCAATTATCCAAGGGGATGTATTTGTCATCGAACAGACATCGTTTGATAAGGTCAGTCTTATTAAATTCAAAACTGGCGGAGGTGCTGACGGCTTCGCAAACGAAGGACGTACTGGCGGAGCCAATAGTGCTCGTGGAGAAGCTGTCGCTCGAGAACTTGAAGCGGAAAAATGTGTTAATGGCCGCTGGCAAAACCCGATCGGGCAGTCCAGTCAAAGTAAGATCTCCCTCGATCAGGGCGGGGAACAATTCCAAGATTTTAATATCGATGAGAGAAATCTCTGCAGGTTCGTCTACCAAGCGAAATTCCAACTCTAGATCACGGAATAGTAGCATGGAGCGATCACGCGGCAGTAATACTAATAGAATATCGCCAAGAATTAAATATAATGCGTCCGCACAAGAAAATAATAGATTGTCCACACCTTTGATGTCGTCCACTCCACAGGCGGCGAAAATGATGACATCAAAGGACACGAGTTGGTCCGACACCTCTGTTGGTTCTGTAAATAACACGTCTCTTACTAGTTTAAGACATAGGGGTCAATCCAGTCTGCATCTGTCTAACACAATGGACAAAAGTACAAACATTGAAAATATATCTAAATCTTCTCTCTCTGATAAAGAAATGAATGACACTAGTCGATCTCACCTTTTGAATGTCACGAAACGAAGCGCCACTTACGACAAGGATAATACGATGGAAAAGAACAGAGACGATACCTACGAACTGGAACAACCGCAAACGCTGAATTTGCGACAAATGGCTAAAAAGCGCGCCTCAGTAGACATGGACTTAAGCTTGAAGGATACTGTTAAGAAGGCCAAAGTGCACTTTGCGAACATAACACCTAGAGGAGGCAGTGTGCGAAGGTCAATTAACAAGCTGAACGGATCAAATACTTCACGCGATGTAGGCACACAAAATAGAGGCAGTATTTTGAATTCGGTACTCAAGTCGAAAAAGATCGAAACCCCGAAGCGTACTCGGAACGCGCTGATTTCTTCTTTCAAGAGATCAAGTCCAAGATTCCACGGAGGCACACCGAGAGCTCAGTTGAACAGAACTCAAGTCACGCCAAAAACTTTCGTGTTAAGCGAAAAGAAATCAGGTAAGACAAAACCAAAAGTAGCTTATATTCCGTACACTTCATCGGATTTTATTGTATAATCAAACGTGTATTTATTTACAGAGAAAAAATCATCGACGAAGAAAGTACCAAATTTTGGAAAAATACATGAACAAATGTTTGCTAAATCGGAATCGCTCGTGGATGCAAAGAAACGTTTGGAAGCCAGACATCAAGCGTTCGGTAATTTGATAATATATTTACTGGTCTGCATACATTAGCAATAAATGTTAGTCATTTTCCGTAAAACGTTTTTCTAGCAAACAAAGCGAGAGCCGACATGAAAACCGAGGGAAAGAAACCACTACCAAGCGAGACGAGGGACGGTATTCACAACAGATTCGGGTTCAAGTTGAAAAAACCGGATGTCACGCAGATTGTGTTGAAAAAGCAAGCAGTTTTTCCAAAGTAGGCCAGATTTCTTTTAAGATAGATATTTTTCAAGTTTTATACGAAATTTTATAGTTTATTCGCGAGATACATTACAAGCTTAAGCCAATTTAAGTGTTGGTAAATTTTATTGAACGCGCGAACGTTGCGAACTATAGTGATGCTAGGATTTTTATCTGTAAAACTTTAAAATGGTTTAATATAAAATTTGACAATTTTGTGGCAAATATTCATACGAGTATTTATATGAATGTGAATATTTACAGGGAAAAACAGCAAAGTGCAAGGCGGATGACGCTGAAGGGTGTGCGAACAAATCGACGGTTCGAATTGCAAATGAAGGCTCGCAATCTAAACTTATAAAGATCATTGCTGTATTAGCACGTACTTCGATATTTCTTTATTAATGTAGTTTATCGTATAAGTTTTTTCTCTTTCTCGAAATATGAGAGTATTTTTTTATTAATATATATTGATTTAAAGACTTTGAGGGAAGAATTTTTCAAGAAATACTTAAAGTATTTGAATTAAATGCATGTAAATATTACTAAAAAACGCTTGCATCATATGCTGGTCTTCTTTTCTTCTAAGGAAAAAAAACTAAAATTATAAAAAAAATTGTTTTTCTACATACATTACCATAAATAAAACTTAAAATTAGTAGATATTATTTTAACATGTGTACAAATTTGTTTTTACAGTTAGACTATTTTATTAATCAAACTGTTGTAATGCAAAATAATTGATTGATTTTGAAGATTTATGATGAAAGAGTTTAGAAGAAACCTTAGTTAAGATCCGAAATTCACTAAGGTTTTCTTTAATAATTGCTCCGATAGAGCAAGATAATTGTAACACTTGTATTATTTGTATCTGAAATCTTTCTCCAAGAAGAAAGGAAAATTCAAAGTAATATTAGTATTTAAGTAATTTTTGTTTAAAGCTCCGACCAAGCAAGTTTGTCAAGCAGCTTATAATTCGTATATATGATATTCGTAAGATAAGCTGGAGGGGAAAAAAGGAAAATTAATGTAATTTGGTAAGATGGGTTAGGAGGGTAAAACTATTGCATTTTGTTTCAATAAAGTTTCTTTCTATCTTGTCGCAAACGTCTGATACATTTTCTGCTTCGAAGGCATCTCACGGAAAGAAAAAGCGAGGTGGAGGAGGAATTTGTTTCGTTTCTTTTCCTTCAGTTTTGTGTGAAATTTTACCGAGTCGATGCTGTTGGCGCGACAATCGTCGTTTGTTATTTAAGATTATCTCAAATGCAATCTTGGAATATTATTTCATTTTGGATGGATGGAATGTTTAGGCAGGACTAGACTTAAAAGTAGACTTTTTCGTTCAATAACATACTGCAATGACTCGATTAATTTTTAAGGTAAGTGACTGGTCGAAGATTTAATTTCAACGTGTTATTTAAATTACGTATCCACTTGCTTATTTCAGCAGCACGTGAAATTGCACCTTTATGGTATTAAATATACATAAGACACATTTTGTTACTGATAATACGTAAGTTATTAGTTAGTGTTCTTCAAAGTCTTTCAGAATTCTGATTGTATCAGATATACGCAGTACCGATCGAAAACAAAAATGATCCAGGATAAAAGTAAAACCATTTAAACATAGATAAATGTAGTTATATAACAATTGTAATCACACGGTTTAAATTATTATAATAAATATGCAATCAAATAAATTTTGTCGCGCGACACTGCGGTCCAATGCAATGTCTACGTGGTTCACGTTTGTTACGTGGAAAGTTTGCATAATTTGCAAGTAGTATTGAATGGGCTGAGTTGAAGGACCTGTATATAAAGGCCAATGTCCACGATGCTAGAACTTAATTGGTCTAAGTTCTAGTTTCGAGAAACGTGTAGCCAATCAACTTGCAGCTTTTATGGAATAGCTGCACGTTGATTGGCTACAGATTTCTCGAAACTAGAACTTGGTGGACATTGGGCTTAAAACCGCGGATAAGTCCCAGTCTACAATAGATGATTTAAGCTCTAAGCTTTAGTCCCAGTCTACAATAGATGATTTAAGCCCTAAG